GTGTGATGGAAGGGGAAAACCTGCCACTTCCTAGAGAGAACCTGACTGAGGCTCCCGGGCTGGAGAGCCCAGGGCTTTGGGATACAGTGAGGAGCTGCTGGGAGCCAGGCCAGCTCGGGCTGTGTGTAGGAATGGGATCAAATCCCTACCGGAGCTGCTCCATTTCTGTTGCCTCTTTATTGGGCACACTGGGATTATCCAGAGCTCCTGCTCCCTCCCCAGGCCTCTTTTCCCATCCCTCCCACCCTGCAGATTTGTTTTCCTCATCCTGGTGTCAGGCTGAGCAGTCCAGGAGCATCCAAGCAGGCAGGGAAGTGCCCGGGGGGGGCTGCTGTGGGGGTCCCCACCTCTCCCAAACACCTCCCAAAGTTTTAGCAGCTTCAAAAAGGCAACTGTTTAAATGGCATTAGAGGCCTGATTTCAAGTCACAAAAGCCATGAAATTCAGAGTTAAGGCTAAAAAAAAAAATCCAGTTGACACTCTGGCCTGAAGCCATAGAAGGCACGAGGTAAAGGCAGAGGCTCCACTGAGCTGGAGAGGGCTCTTTGGGGGTCCTGGCTGCCCCGTGGGGTGCAGGGCAGAGCCTGGGATGGGATTTAAATGTGTAGAGGAGCCAGGTTGGAAAGATTCAGGAATGCTTTGGAGAGGGTTTATCCCAAGCTGGGCAGCAGGAGGTGGCTTGGCTGGCCAGGACATTGCTGTGGTCCTACCTGGGTGATCCTGGGGAGGGCTTTGGAGTCCATCCCTGGAGTCAGGGTGGGCCCTTTCCTTCCTGTGGTGGGACAGTGGTATTGCAGCTGAACTTGGTTCCCATGTGCCCTCCCAGCAGGCAGCACCAGGATGCTGGGTAGTACTGGATGACACTGAATTACACACCTGCTCCATCATTCCCACCTTCCACATCCTCCTGCAACAGGAGTGTCTCACTATTAGCAGAAAATACAAAGCTGAACTGTTCTATTATTATTATATATTGTTCTATTGATTTTTTTTATATTATTTTTCCCCTCTCTGGGATGAGCCCTTGGTGATCAGGGCGGCCCAGAGGCTGAGCTTTGGGGAGCTCTGAGCATCTGTGTGTGTTTGGAGGGGGCTGTGGTAGCCCAGGTGTCCTGGGTATATCTGCTGAAGATGGGAGCAGAAGAGCTGCTTTTCCAACAAATCATCACTCTCCACAAGGGTTGCTGGGTGCAGCACAGGAAAGAGAGATCCTGCAGGTGGGTCCTGAACTTGAGAGAGGCAGAAGCAGCAGTTTTTGGGGTGTGCTTTATTGGCCCCATTTTTTTTTTTAACCACCTTGCACGCACCAAGGGGACTGATACAGGCTCAGCTGGGCTCTTGATTTGGCAACAAGTTGAAGACATGATGAACAGAAGACAAAAGGTTTTGTCATTTCTTTTATTGCAAATTTTCTCTGGGAAACCAGGCTTCACAGGTACTGATGCAACTAGTTCCTGACCTGCAGGCCGAGCACCAGCCCAGGGACAGGATCAATACTTCATGCTTATCACAACAGGCTGAGCAGGGTTTTCTCTGGCTGCAAAGCCTGATAATGGAGCCACGGTTAATTGGAGGTGCTACAAATGTACCTGTTGGTGACTTGGAAATGAGCCTGGAAGGAGGGAGGCAAGACTTTGTGGCCAAGATCCCTTTTCTTGTTTGCATTCCAGGACCCACCTGGTGAGACCCTGCTGGTGGTGAGGCCTGGGTGGGTCACAGAAACTGGGCAGCAACAAGGCCAGAACTGATGTAACTTCTTGCAGAGTCTCAGAGACAGGCCCATGTTGGGAAGCAGCTCCCTGGGACAGGAAGGGGTTCCTGGGCAGAGCACAAGAAATTAATGTTGCTCTAATTACTGCAGAGCTTGTGCTGGCCCAGCACCTCCTGTCGAGACTGAAGTTCCTCCTGAGGTGGTAGGGGATGCTGCATCCACCTGCAGCTGGTGCTGCTTTCCTGTTCCTGAAACACCTCTTCACACCTTCTGGCTTCCTTCCAGCAGCCCCGGGAGCAGCAGGAAGCACTGGAGGCAGCCTGGCCTCCCCCCGGCAATGGGAGTGGGGATCTTAAGTGGGGTCTGGCTGCTCCACCAGTGTCTGAGCACCCCGAGAACATCTGCATGGTAAGGGGCAGGTGACCCAGGGGCGAGTCAGGGGAAACAAGGTGCTTGAAGCTATTTTGGAGCAGCACTGCACTCGCAGCTGCCCTCTCCTGGCACAACACACCTCCTGCCAAGTCCTTCTGCATCCTTTGGGGGTGTTGGAGGTTTTCCTGCTCCTCAGGAACAGAGATAAAAATCCAGCTTAGGGCTCCCCCCACACTCAGGTCTGGGTTAAGCCAAGCCAGGCCTCCCACAGCTCCTGGGAAGGCTGGCACAGGCAGCCCCTCAGCTGCCAGTGGCTTCTGGTGCTGCTCACACCCCCTGGGCTGGTGGGGACAGAGAAGGGGAGGACGTTGCTTTTTACAGGTGACTGGGGCAGCCCCTTCCTGCTCATCTCCTGCTCCAACTCCAGTGCTTCCAGCCCTGGTGGGAGGGAGCTGTGCTGGCCCACTCAGGATGGACAAACCAGCAGCAGAAGTGAAGCCAGAGCCCAGGTATGTCCTGCAACCACCCTGTGATTAATGACCTTCAGGAAAAAAAAAACAAAGCACAAGGCATTTTATTTTTTTTATTTTTCCAGAGTTAATTTAGTAATCAATTTTTTTTCTTTAAAAATAAAACCTAAGCCTGTCAGGTCACAGATCAGTAGATTTAAGTGCTTTTTGTTGTGGGTGCAGCTGTGGAGCCACAGTGTGCGTTGGGGAGCAGGGCAGAGGAGAAGGCCTCACTGCATGTAGGGGTAGCACCAGTCCCTCAGGGGCACGTGGGTCTCCTTGATGGCCTGGGGGGACGTCCAGCGCAGGATGTAGTGGGGACCCCCGGGTTTGTCATTGGTGCCTGTTGGGGAGGGAGAGGAGGGGCTGGTGACTGAAGGTGGAGGAGCTGGGATGGGGTTGGTGGGTCAGCAGGGGCAGGAGGGTGCCCCTCTCCAGGAGGGGGTTTGGTCTGACCTGAGATGCGGGGGTCCCCAAAGGGCTGTTGAGCCACCACGGCCCCCGTGGACTTGTCGTTGATGTAGAAGTTCCCGGCCGCGTTGCGCAGGAGGCGGCGGGCGGCCTGGAGGGGCTGCCTGGGGAGAGGGGAGTGTGTGTGTCTGTGTGTGAGTGTGCACAGGCTGTACGCAGGGCCAGGTCTGCTTGGCAGGTCACACTCACTCACACCTCGCACACTCACATTCTCTCACTCTCACACACACTCAAACTCTCACACTTTCTCACTCACAACTCACTCACACATTCTCACTCAAATGCTCTCACACTCACTTTCCACACTCTCACACACTCACAGTCACACTGTCACACACACACTTACCTTAACTGTCACACACTCACCCATGCTCACACTCACACTCTCTTGCACTCACTCTCACACTCAGACGTGTCCCACATCCTTACAACTCAATTAAGTGACCCCAATGTTTTTATTTCCGTTTTACTGTTATAAAATGAAGGTGATTCCAACTGAGTCCCCAAGTAGTGGGACTGGCAAGGACCTCTGGAGATCATGGGGTCCAACCCCCTGCCCAAGCAGGGTCACCTAGAGCAGGTTCCACAGGAGGGTGTCCCTGCTGGCTTTGAATGTCCCCAGAGAAGGAGGCTCCACCTTCCCTGGGCAGCCTGGCCCAGGGCTCCATCACTCACAGACAAGAAGTTCCTCCTGATGAGGTTGAACCTTTGTGTCCACTTTGTGACCCCCTTGCCCCAAAGGCTGGTCCCCCTGGGGTCACACTGCTCTTAGCCCTCCTCCTGCTTAAGAGGGCTGGGGCTGCATCCTCCTGGGTGCTCCAAATGTCACCATTGGGGCAGTTTCTCACCAAAATAAAAGCATTTTAGGGCTAAGAAACTCCCCCTCCTCCTTTCTTTTAGCTGCCTCCCCTCCCTCCTCGGTGGGAGGACTAAAAGCAGGCTAAGTTGGTGGGAAATGCTTTTCCCTCCTCCTCCCCAGGCAGCACAGAGAGGAACGAGATAGATGGATGGATCTGCCCAGAAAGGGAAAAGCATCGTTGCTGTCTCGGGATGGGTTTGTTGGCACTTACTTCTCCTGGGCGAAGATCGCCCCCGTGAGGCCGTAGGGCGTGGTGGTGTCGATGAGTTCCAGCACCTCCTTGTACCGCTGCTCCGGGTACACGTACACCGTGAGGACTGGGCCGAAGATTTCCTGGGGAGCAAAACAAAGCACCCAGTGGGGACAACCTCCAAAGGCAGGTGGGTGCGTCAGCACCTGATTAACTGTCAACATGACATGGAGGAAGGACAATGGGCATGGTTTAAAAGTGGAAGAGGGGAGATTGAGGTTGAACATGAGGAGGAAATTCTTTGCTGTGAGGGTGGTGAGAGCCTGGCCCAGGTTGCCCAGGGAAGCTGTGGCTGCCCCATCCTTGGCAGTGTTGAAGGGCAGCTTGGATGGGGCTTGGAGCAACCTGAGCTGGTGGGAGGTGCCCCTGCCCATGCAGGGGGGTTGGGACCGGATTATCTTTGAGGTCCCTTCCAACACAAACCAGTCTATGATCCCCACACCAACTTAGTGTAGTCTCATCTCCAGAGGCACAGCAGGCATCTCAGGACAGGGACCTACAGCCCCTCTGCTGCCCCCTCCCCCAGGCTGCTCTCACCTCCTTCATGATGGGGTCCTGGGGGTCTTTGGTCTCCACGATGCAGGGCTGGATGAAGTACCCGACGCTGTCATCGCAGCCGCCACCCGCCAGGATGGTGAGGTTGGGCGACTTCTTGGCGTGTTCGATCCACTTCTTGATCCGTGCAAAGGACTGAGGAAGGGGAATAACAATTAAAATCATTTGGGGTCAGGGGGCTAGAAGGAGGGCTGGACAATCCCCTTCAGGGCTACAGTGGTCTCAAGGCTCTGGAAGAGGGGGTGGGAGATGGACGTAGAGTCCTGGGCACTAAATGTTATGTCTGAGATAATTTCTCAGCAAAATGACACACTTTTCAGGAGGGGCAGTGACTACAGTGACCATTGGGCAAGCAGTGCTGCAGGAGGAGCAGGAGAGGGCTGATCAATTAATCACTGGTGTTTGTACTCTGCTGTAAATAATAAAAACAACCATCTCGCCCCAGCCTGTCGTGGTGTTACCTTGTCACACGAGTAGGAACAGGGGAGGGGAGCTCACCTTGTCATCAATCACTGCAGAGAAAAACGTCCCAAAATCCTGGGCGGGCTGTGGGAAGGCAGAAAGGAGACAATGTTACAGACTGTGCCAAAAAGCCACCTCTGAAATAAGGAGCAGCTGAAATGCCCACAAATACCACCTCCCTCCCTTCTCCCAGCACACCTCGGTGGAGGTGCCCCTTTTCAATTAGTCTGCTGTGTTCAGCCACTTACAGAACCCTTCCTGCAGACACTGGCTACAAGTTAATTTCTAATCACTAAAAAAAAAAAAAAAAAGGGGGGGGGAGGGGGGACACGGAGGGGCTGGGGTGGGAAGAGCCAGTGGATACAAAGCTGGGTTCAATAGGAATTAGTAGCCAGTTACCACAGTCTCTAATCCCATCAACCACCCGCTGAGCTGCAAAGCCCTTCAGCAACCCGGCAGCTCCACTCACGTCTCCCACTTTGATCTTCCCGTGCTCCTCCAGCAGCTTCTCTTTGATCTGGGGCCACAGTGAGTCCGGGACGTAGAGGCGGGAACAGGCCGAGCATTTCTGGCCGCCGTACTCGAAGGCAGAGCGCAGGGTCCCGTTCACCACGCTGCCCACGTCGGCTGAGCTGTGCACCAGGTGGAAGTTCTTCCCTCCGCACTCTGGGCCAGGAGAAAGCAGGGAAAGGGAGGAGTTGGCAGGGATGGGCTGGCTATGGACAGCACAAGCCACCAGCAGGTCCCTCACAGGGACAGCTCGGCCAGCGCTCGCCCCGCCTGGTTCCCTGGGCCGTGGAGAGATGCCACAATCCCAGGGAGCACAACCCTGGAGCTGGAGCAGGATTATAAAGCTGATGGAAAAGGGACTGAGCCCAGTTCCCAAAGTCAGGGTGCAACCCCAGAGTGTCATTGCTTCCCACCCAAGTGCCGCCTCCCCACCATCAAAGCCCATCCCGTGCCATAAGCACCAAACACCCAGCACAGCCATGGGAACAAGCTCCTGCCAGAGGGTGGAGAGGACACAGTGTGATGTGTCACAGGAGAGGAATTCTGGCCATGCCTTCAGTTTCTCCCTGAGCAGGGGAGACACTGAACATCCCATCCCTGTGTGGTGTCCCCCTCTTCCCAATAAAAGGTGCAGGAAAGGGCAGGTACCTCCAGCCAAGCGTGGGAAATTGCGGTAGCGATCCAGGTTCTGGGACACCTGCTTCCAGAGGTGCTTGAAAGTCCTGGGAGAAAAAGGAGGAGCTTGTCAGTGTGTTCTTGCCTTGGCACAGGGGTGGCACTTGGAGAAGGCACACCCAGGTGACATGCCCTGCTGAAGGGGACCCCAACAAACGCTGGCAGCCAACCACAAAAGAAGGGATGCCCTGCAAGTGGAACAGGAGCTGCCAGCTGAGCAGGAGAGCCAGGCTCCCACAACCTCCTGCAGCATCACAGGGAAGAAACAGGAGTCAGCAGAAGTTTCTGTTCTTCCCCTTTCCCCCCTTCCTCTCAGGCCTCACCGTGACAAACCCCTTGGCTGCAAAACAATAAAAATGCTAATAACCTCCCCCCAGGAGGCTCAGTGACTAATACTAATTTATGAGCTTCCCACCTGAAAAGCACGAAGCTCATCAGACCATGTCCTTGGCTGGTGGAGCAGAGTCCCTGGGTTGAGCAGCCCTCAGCATCACTAACACATCCTGACACGTGGGCACAGCACCAGTGTGCAAACCTGCCTGGAGCTGGGGGCTTCTGAGGCCAAATCCCAGCAGCCCTGAGAAACTGGGCAGAGCCACACACAAGGCTGGCTGCTCCCTGTGCCTTCAGTGTAGGAGATCTCCGCTGTTAGATCACAGAATCCACGACTGGGTTGGGTTGGAAGGGACCTTAAAGATCATCTAATTCCAACCTCTCTGAACATGGACACCTCCCAGGAGCCCAGGTTCCTCAGAGCCCCATCCAACTTGCCCTTCAACACTGCCAGGGATGGGGCAGCCACAGCTTCCCTGGGCAACCTGGGCCAGGTTCTCACCACCCTCACAGCAAAGAATTTCCTCCTCATGTCCAACCTCAATCTCCCCTCTTCCAGTTTTAATCCATTCCCCCTCATCCCATCCCTCCCTGCCCTTGTCCCAAGTCCCTCCCCAGCTTTCCTGGAGCCCCTTCAGGCACTGGAAGGTGCTCTAAGGTCTCCCTGGAGCCTTCTCTTCTCCAGGCTGAACACCCCAACTCCAGCCTGTCTCCAGAGCAGAGCTGCTCCAGCCCTTGGATCATCTCTGTGGCGTCCTCTGGACTCTCTCCAGGAGCTCCATGTCCTTCTTGTGTTGGAGGCTGCAGACACTTTTCTCATCAATTTAAACCCCTGCCTTAATTACCCCGTGTACAGATGGCCCGTGCCCTGCTTCCCTACTCAGCCCTGTCCCCCCAGCCCCAGCCCCAGCGCACGGGACGCTGCCGGTGAAGTTCAGCCCGCAGAAGTGCTCGGAGCTGGTGACGGTGTCTCCAAAGACGGGTCCGTCGGCCGGCACGAACTGCACCACGTTGGGAGGGAGCCCAGCTTCCAGGAGGATCTTGTAGACAGCGTAGCTGGAGAGCATGGCTGTGTCACTGGGCTTCCACAGGACCACATTTCCCTGGGGGAGAGGAGAAAGTCAGCCCAGGAATCACAGAACCTCAGAACCTGAGGGGTTGGAAGGGACCTGGAAAGCTCCCCCAGCCCACCCCCCCTGCCAGAGCATCTCCAGAGGAGACTCCACAGCCTCTCTGGGCAGTCTGGCCCAGGGCTCTGTCACTTTCACAGCAAAGAAGTTTTTTTCTGAGATTCACATGGAACCTCCTGTGCTCCAGTTTGCACCCACTGCCCCTTGTCCTGTCACTGGACATCACTGCACAAAGCCTGGCTCTGTCCTCCTGACACTGCCCTGAACAGATTTGTGCTCATGGATGAGGTGGCCCCTCAGTCTCCTCTTCTCCAAGCCCAACAGACCCAGCTCCCTCAGCCTTTCCTCAGCAGGGAGATGTTCCCCTCCCTCCAGCATCTCTGTGCCTCTGCCCTGGGCTCTTTCCAGCAGTTCCCTGTCCTTCTGGAACTGAGGGGCCCAGAACTGG